TGCAATCACATTCATCCATACTTTCTGAGTTGCACACGTCCAGATTGAAACAAGTGTCTCCGTGTAGCAAATACACAGAGAATTCTCCCATAGGCAAAAAAAGTACTGAGGTGTAATTAATATATTTTCAGACTATTATCTGTATTTCCTTGAGCCCTCGGACTGATTGTCCTGTTCTAGTTCTAAGCCAAGGAGATTAGGCTTAGATTAGGCCGACTATGTGGTCTTGGCTGCCAAATACATTGTTCTCCCTCATGTCCTTTTTATGAGTCATCACATTTTTTCATGATGGGACATTCTGAGCAAATATGGCACTATGGAGAAGAGACTATTTATTATAAACACTACATTTGGCTTTGTCCTACAGAAAAGAAATGACCAGAAGAATATAATAATTAGGTCAGAATGTCTTGTGATCAAAATTGTATTATTGATACCTAGGACAATACTAGATCTTTGAACAAAGAAACTAGTTCATAGATTCAATGTCTATGACTAACTAACTGTATTGCATCAACACCAATTAGGCATCTAATTAATTTTACTAAATGGGTCAGAAATGAAATATAAACAAAATCAAAACTTTTTCGACTGTAAAACACTGTTAAAACCACAAGTCAGCCTGTGATTCTCTTGGTAAACAAGGCAAATACATTTTTTTCTTTTATTTTTTAATACTTTGCTAGAAGGAATCCTAACAGGCCATCTAGTTCAGTCTTTTTCTTTCAAGTAAGACACACTCTAACTATCTCTAAATAACAGAGGAGTCTTATTGTATCTTATTCTTTTTTATTAATAATTTTATTTAGCTAAAAAGCTTTGGAGCATCTACTAAAAGGCAATCATGCTACTAGGATTGGAGCTAACAAGATAAAAAGAAAAGGAACACATGATGTTTACCCATGAGGAAGTAGCTGAGTTAGGAAAGACTGGGTGAGTGCTTAATTCCTTAAGCAAAATGGGGAAAGCAAGAGGATACATAAGTTTGAGGGTGAAGAAAACATGTGAGTTTAATGGTATTGAGTTTGAGGTGCCATGAAGGGGCCAGTAGGCAGCTGGCTATGTGGGTCTGGAGACGTTCTGATCTAAAAATACGGATATAGGGGTCACTTTCAACAGGATTCTTGAGGATAGGAAAACCATAAAAGTAGCCCACCTACAATGAAAACCAGGCTTAGCAAAGGTGTTCCTTAAAAACTCAATTCAGCATTGTTATTATTCTGACAGTCCTGGTTATGTACCCATGTCTATCATCACTCTTTTAGTTTAAGAATCATCCTCCTCTCTGCCAGCTGCAGTGGCTCACGTCTGTAATCCTAGCAATTCGGGAGACTGAGGCAGACAGATCACCTGAGGTCAGGAGTTTGAGACCAGCCTGGCCAGAATGGCAAAACCCCATTTCTACTGAAAATACAAAAATTACTCTGGTGTGGTGGTGCATGCCTGCAGTTGCAGCTACTAGGGAGGCTGAGGCAGGAGAATCACTTGAACCCGGGTGGCGGAGGTTGCAGTGAGTTCAGATGGTGCCATTGCATTCCAGCCTGGGCAACAAAGTGAGACTCTGTCTCAAAAACAACAAAACCCAACAACAACAAAAATAATCATCTTCTTTCTCAGAGCTGATGAAAATAATAAAACACGAGCTTATAAATGCACAGCTTGAAATGCCCAGGGTGGACGACCTTGAAGCTTGGCTGGATCAAAGTGTGAGAACACTGTAGTTAGGATTTGGTCTCCTTACATCTTTCAGTTCTGCTGTCCTCCAAACTGATTTTGTTTTCAAACAAATTCTCTCCATTGGCACGTTTCCAGGAATTCCAGTCTTACATCCTACCAGTATCAAACCCCAAAAAAGAAAGTTTCTCAGCACCAAAAATCACAGCTGAAATCTGAGGATTAACTCTTGAATTATTCTGTTCACTTGAATGACACTGTTTCTCAAATCCATCACTGTAGAAAGGTGAATGGAGGCCAGGCGTGGTGGCTCATGCCTGTTATCCCAGCACTTTGGGAGGCTAAGGCGGGCGGATCATGAGGTCAGTTGATATGAATCATCCTGGCCAACATGGTAAAATCCAGTCTCTGCTAAAATACAAAATATTAGCCAGGTGTCGTGGTGCGTGCCTGTAGTTCCAGCTACTCAGGAGGCTAAGGCAGGGGAATCTCTTGAACCCAGGAGGTGGAGGTTGTAGTGACCTGAGATGGCACCACTGCACCCCAGCCTGGCAACAGAGGGAGACTTCGTCTAAAAAAAAAAAAAAAAAAAAAAAAAAAAGTGGATGGAATCCTTCAATTGGTCAGTCAAGTTCCCTGGCCCTTCTGCTTTGAGGTCAGCTCAGCCACTCAACAAGGAACAAGAATCAGGGAGGAGTGACTCCCTAGAGAAGAACTGAAGAAGAGGAAAAATATATTGAACATGTAAAAGTTAGAGTTATCCTTCATCCCTTGTAAGTGCAAGAAATACAAGAATAAAATACAAATACAATGAATAAAATATAGCCACATGAAGACAAAAGAGGAAGATAGAAAATGAGGCAAAGATAAAGGGATAAGCAGTCAGGGTGTAGTAGGTGTAAAGTATCAGAGTACCACCAAGGAAAGACACAGTTACATGTCTGCCCACTTCTTTTGTGTTTTGCGTTGGTTCGGAGGAAACAGAGAGCCCGTCTCATTTGTCTGATTTACTATTCTTGATATCCTTGGAGGTCATTGTTTTGTAAGAGTTGTGGAGTTTGTTCTGTAAGGGAGAAAACTTATTTTCCTTACCTTTTTAGGTTCTTAGTTGAAACACTGCCCTGAAAACACAAGTCAGATTAACAAAAGAAAAACAAACAGAAGTTTGTTAATGTGCACTGTACCCATCACACAGGAGAGGCCTCAGTTCAAAATAGTACTTCTCTCTCAAGGCAGTGACTTAGAGGCCTTTCTTAAGTAGTATTTTAACAAAGAGCCATAAATCCTGTAAAGTGACAAGACAAAGAACAGTATCTTCAGGCTTCCGAAACGTGGGAAAATGTGGGAAAGTAAATTTATGGGAAGAGATAGATCCTAGATTCTCTGGTGCCACTTTCTCTGAGCTGATAAAGGCAGAGAGGAGAGACAGAGTGTACCCCTGTGTTTAACCTTTTAACTAAAATCCTCAGTATTTTAGACAGGAATGTTTTGCTTTCCTTCCATTCCAAAGGCCAAAAATCCCAATTGCTTTAATCCAACTTCTAGGTTCATCTTTCATCATTTAAAACATTTCTGGACATCATTCAGATTTGCTGTAAATTCCTCAGGTCTTTAAATTTTGTACTCTAAAGCTAGAATTGTTGCTTTGGTAAAAGTCTGAATAATAATAATAATTGCATTATTCCAATTCCACACTCGAGCCTTATAATACTTTTAACAGTAATGGTTGTTCTGGATGTGTGCTGTTTCCAATCTGTTCTCCTCTTCAGTTTTCTTCTAGCTTACCTTCTGTTACAAAGTTTACGAAAGAAGAAACGTAAGAAGTGGTAAGGTGTCATAGTATCTAACAGATTGACTTTGAACTGAATGCTCATTGCAGTCAAATTGCTTCTGATTTGCCTATTTTGGTTTTTAGGTTTTAGCCTAATAACTACAAGAAAGTTTTAAAATATCTAAATTACTAAGAAAAAGGCTATTGTTGCTACGCAAAAGGACATAGGCCTGAGTTTAAAGCTCTTGGAAAATTAAAAAAGAATCCAGGCCGTGACTTACAATTTCAAGTTGATTTGAAAATATAACTTGAAACTTAGGAACTTTGTCCTCCAGTCTATATTTGCTGTTGTTTTAGATATTTGAGCTGAATGGGCACAGAACAACAGATTTAATTAAACAGATTTAATTACAGTATAGAGGAAGATGTAGTGATATCCAAAGAGAACTTGACCAGAAGTCAGAAGAAGTCGCTTTGAGACCCAATACTGCTGCCCCTATGACTTTGGAGAACTTAACTCAATCTCTCTGAAACTCAGTCTTTCCTTCTTTAAAACTGAGCCTATAACCATTACTCATGGGTAGCAGAAAATCAATAACATAACAGAAATGAAACCAGCTGGTACACCGTATTTGCTCATTCAGTGATGCTCTTTTTTTACGTTTTATCACATCACCATGTGAAATACAGGAAGATACAAATTCCCTCCCTCAATTATTTGTAACCCAGTAGGAAAAAAACTGTATGTGCCCTATAAGTGATATCATATGGGAGTTTAGAAAGAAATTATAAGAAACAGGAAAATCTGAGGAAGAGTGAATGTAGAATGTGGAAGGTGATGTAAGCCTTGAGGATGAAAGGGTCTGCATTGTTAGAGTAGAGGAGGGAACATCCTAGCCAGGTAAGTATAGGGAAGGCAGAGGAGGTACAGAGAGTTTAACAACATGTTTTCCCAGCATGAAAGCATGATTCTTCCCCAGGATCTTTAGCAAATAAATAAATAAGGAACAAAAATCATCTTTCCATTTACTTTGCGCATATCATGGCTTACCAAGTCATAATTCAGGGGGAACAAGCTAATTTTCTTAAAAGCTGTCTTTTCCTTCCATAACTCAGAAGAAGTGGATTATCATAGAAAACATTCAGTACATTTTCTCTTCAAGTGAAGAGTGGGTGGGGAAATTTATGTGGGCATCCTGGCATCCTGTGCTCATGGTGGTAGAGAAGTTTTATGAAAGCTACTTGAAACGTGAGGATCTGAGACTTTTTGAAACATAGGTATTATTTGGTCCAAACTTGCTGGTTTACAGGTTGAGAAAAACGGTACCCAGACACGTGGAGTAGCTTTTCCAAGGCCACAGGTCACATACTTAAGGAGGTGAGGCAAAAAGCCAGATTCTCAGGAAGACAGAATTCTAATCCAGAAATGGATTAATGTGTAGTCATTTATTTATTCATTTGTTCATTCAGATAATCTTTCCTAAGTGCTTGTTATATGCTAGACACTATCCTGATTTCAAGGGAGTATATGTTATGAAAATAAAGACAACCCAAATGAGAACAAACAGAGGCTATTTATTCCATTTGTTAGAGCAAGGAAATCAGCCACAGTATCTTCCTTCTGGTAGATACTCAAAGGCAGGCAGAGGACTGGCAAATCTTTCTAGTGAAGAAGAAGGAAGGCTTCAGGTATGCTCTGACTGGAGGCTGTTGGCATGGGGGGAGCCTCATGCTGGCATGAGGTGGCTGAGTGGGAGTGGTGCCTTTATGTGATTTGGGTGGGGAGCATACCATTCTGTTCTGCTGACCATTCTAGGCCAGAGGTTATAGTTTGGCTTAGAAGAGTGATAGCTGCAGAGGTTGAAGACTGGAGTTCTGCTCTCATATGTGATCTGGCCATTGTCCATTTATATATTCAGTCCCCTTGGCGGGGCACAAGAGATGCTATGCCTCCACTAATGGAACTTGCAGTCTCATGATTTAATCACACCTTGGAAAATGCTAAAAATTAAGTTAGTGGTTGTAGAATGGGATCTGGAGTCTGGGAGTTTCCTTGAGCAACTGACTCCAAGCTGTGCCCTAAATATTAAGTTGAAGTTCAATAGTAAAGAGTAAAAATATCATTACTAGGAGTATTTGTGAGGTTTTACAAATAGAGCTGTCAATAGATTTTTACAAAAGAGGTATTAATCCCTTTTTCCACCTCTGATCAGAATCAACCAATCAAATGTTTTATGCTGTTTTTTTTTTTTGTTGTTGTTGTTTTGTCTCTCACACCATAGCAACAAAATCAGAAGGGATCTCATTGTGAGGGCCGAAAGAGCAGCATTTAACATGAAAATAGTATCCTGACCCTCCTTGGACTAAATGTTGTTAATCAAGTTTAAATTTAGCTCCCACGAAGTCTCAAAAGAAAAGGAGACAGTCAGGTCCAGCGAGGAAAAACTTCCGAGTGCCTCTAAGGCAAGGAAAACAGGACTCCAGTCGACAAAGGGCAGGCAGCCTGTAAAAACAAATGGTGCTGATGAGAAGGCGGGGGCCCCAGAAAGCTCATTAGCAATCAGATGCAGCCACAGAGCTGTCTCCCTCCAGTCTACCGGCCAATGACACCGCAGAGTCTGTTACTCGGCGGCCCGCCCGCCTGGCTGCACTCCTGAGACATCCCGCCTGCTCAGGGGACCCCAAACCCCTAGAGACCTGGATACTGAAGGGGAGGAGGCGGGACGCCAGGAAACACCACAGATGAAGTGAAGAAAACCAAAGCTATTGTCCTTATCTACCCACTGATAACCAATAGTGGGGAATGCGGAGAGGCAGCTGCTGGGTGGGATTCTGGAGGCAACATGACTTCAACTGAGGGGCAGAGAGTGGCGGCTGCACTTTTGTTTCCAGCTTTATGAATCCCAGTGCTGCTCCCAGTCTTTGGAAATTGAAGGACCTCTTGATATCACTTGTTTTGTAGCCTTTTACATGAATGAAAACAAATCTTATGGATGTTTTTCAAAAATGGCTATTTTGAATCTGGTTGACACTTTCAATGAATTCGCTTCTTCTTTTCATAACAGCAGCTGCATGTGTGGGAAAACAGTAGGCCTAAGTAGTTGGCAAATAGTAGCACAGCCCTTTCTCACCTCTCTCCCATCCCCGCAGGCTTCCAAGTGAGAAGTTCAGGGCTTCACAATTGAGAACCAGAAAGAAAAGGAGAAACTGGCCTTTGTTGAGTATCAACTGTCAACATTCTTGGATAAGAAAGGTATTGTTTGTTTTCTCTCTTACAAAACACAAAATGGTTAACTTGAGAAATTAAGATACCTGCCTTGGTAAGTGACACTTTCAAAAATCACAGCACTTTCCACCTTCCCAAATTCCTACTTAAATCAGTTCAACTTCACTGGGGCATATTTGAGGCTGGCTGACTACCACTCATGCACTTTTGCGAAGGAGTCTTGTGCCTTGTCCCTGATGACACTGTTGGTTCTTTATGTCCTAGATGCTATTGGTGGGATGCGGAAGTGATGACTGATTGAAAAGTGTTAAACAGACTAATCAAGTGATTCCTAGGCTGAGATGGCTCCAGGGCCTTAGATTCCTACATATACAAAGTGAGACAACTCAATGTAAATAACATTCTGTTTTATTTATTTTTTAAATAAACTCACCGATCTCTGAAATTTACCTTTTTTTTTCCTCTGTATATGTTTATTTGCTTCCTTCACATAAACTATGTATATGTTTATTTGCTTCCTTCACATAAACTATGTAAGGGTTTGTTCAAGATGTTAGGTTCAGGAACTTCATATATATTTGTTGAATGAAGAAATGAATGATTGAATGGTAAGTAGCTTACGTTAGATCACGTAGTTAGTGCACAGTTGAGCCAGGTCCTAAACTGAGGTTTGCCTGCCTCTTCTTAGGAAAGTGAAGTCATAGAAGGGGAGTACTAAGCATAGTAGAATTCAAGATAGGATGATACCAAATAGTAGAGCTTTTCCTATTGCATAGTTTGGCTTGGGCGAGAGTAGTCCACAGTCTAAAATTGTATTTCTCAAAGGAAAAGATCCACCTCACTGGTATCAGAATCACTGGGAAGCTATTAAAAGTATGACTTATTGGGATCTGTCCCATACCTACTGAATTTGACTCTGGAGGTGCTACCAGAGGGGCTGATTTTGTAAATAAGGTCTCCCAAGGTTTCTCATGGACTGTAATTTTGAGACCCACAGGCTTGAAAGAAATTTGCTCCTGACTGCACAACATTTATTCAGATGTCTGAAGTTCCTTAGCCATACGTCATTCTCACATATTGGTTAATTTGCCCTGGGTAGGTACTTATTTCTCAGGTCAACTCACTCTTTTAGAGCAGAAAAGAGACAACACTCCCCTGGGTTAAGAAGCACAACCCTTCATCTGCGGCACAGCCTCCTCCTTTTAAACCCTCCACCCTTTAGAATTTACAATCAGAGATGAAGGTGTTACCTCTTGCTTTGCAGATCTGCATGGAACTTGGTCATTATAGGGCTATGAAACTGGTTAATAAAAAAGTAATTTCAATTCAGAAGCTTCAAAAGCCCAGATGAACTTCTGGAAAATTATTATTCAAGATGTCTTTATGACACTTGAGAGCATGTAGGATCCCAATAAGTCAAATAAGAGACCTAGGTCGTTTTTATTCCTTGGTGTACCAAGTAAGAAATCTACACATGGTATGAATAATGGCTGGGTTTAAAACACCTAAAATGATTACCTTGAAGGTTTGCTCTGATAAACTGATCTTCATATCCTTTGCCTTAAACTTTCTTAGCTTTGGATGAGTTACCTGTTTTAATTGGTTACTTCTAAGTCTAGTTTACAAACAGAAACTAAGCAACACCCATTTGGAGAACCATGGCTACCAAATGGAATGATCTGGATGATGGAGCCCTTTCTCTGACACTCGATGCTCAGACTGCAGGGTTGGAAAATCTTAGATCTGAATTTCTGTCAGTCGACATCAATAACTTTCACTTTTAATGAACTTGAGACATTAAATTTTGCTTGACCTGAAACCAGTGGGAAAAAAGAAGTTTCACCTGAAACTTGGCCCAGATTTCTCCTTTGTGGTTAATAAATGATGAACACAAGCCTAGATTGGGTTCATGTTTAGGACAAAATTCTGACGAGGAAATTTTGTGCTTCTTTCAGGTTTCAAACAAATGTTTATAGTTCTGAACAACACTCTATGTGTTATAGATATCAGAATGCACTCCTGGTCACTTCAGTGAGTAGAAATACTTTAGACCAGAAAATCAGAGAAATCTGAGATATCTCATGTAAATATACTTAGGTTTGTTTTAGGGCTTATGCTAGTGACATTTTAAAGGAGTTCTTAAAAATCCAGTGCTCCAAAGTGTGCTGTGCTATCAATGATATAGTTTTAATTTATTTCCTTGACTTATCAATTTTTGGAAGAGGTGACTATGTCTTCATCATGTCCCAGCCCAGATACCTCTCCATGATTTTCTTCTAGTGATGTAGGACTAGCTCGTTATTCATTCATTGATTTATTTTACCTTTAATCTCTGTGTGACTTTCAGGACCAGCTCTTTAAATGATGCATCATTTGGCTATTTTGGATTGTAAGTATAGCAAACACAAGCTAAGTCAATTTAAAAAATAAAATAACTTCATTTCTCTGACATTGTCTCAGTTCTGCCCTGCTTCTTGTATCAGCTTAATTCTCACACTAGCTTTCCTCAGGATAACAAAATGTCTTTCAAGAGTCTCTTGGGCTGTGTGCTCCCTCACTCAAGTCTAGAGACAATAAACTTGTCTCTTTATTTTTAAGACGTTTCAGTTGGAATTTCTATTACGCATCACTGCAAACATCCTAAATGATAAAAATGGGAAAAGCATGTAAATGGTGCTCAGATCTTTCTAAAAATAGAAATTTTATTTCTCTGCTATAGTGAATGTAAAGAACTCTTAAGTGTCATTTTTACCTTTTTTCTTCCACTGTCTCATTATTTTCACCCGTATTTCTCAATGCCTCCTTCTTTCCTTAAAACTAGAGGAAGCTAATGGCAAAAGGGATGAGAAATGTCACCTAAGACTACTGTTTATTGCAGACCAGGTACAATTGGTTTCCAGATTTTTCTGCATTAGGCCTTCTCTGTCAAGTCTTTGATTTTGTGCCAAAGAATGATGAATATCCTGTCATCATTGAAATGTCTTGAAGTCAAGACCAATAACTACTTTTATTATTGCTGTAGCTACTGTTATTATGGTAGCAACTAAAATGTCAGTGATCCGTCCCATGCTGTGTAGCTCAACTTCGGAGAAGTTAGAATCACAGCAGACTTAGACTTCGAAATTGATAATGAATTTTTTTAGTTAACTATCATTATTTGATCTAAAAAGAGAAAGACAGAGAGAGAAAAGAGAGATTGAGAAATCTGCCATCTGGCACTTTAAGGTAAAAGGTTAAATGGTCGAAAAACCTGGGTTCTAAGAGTTGAACTGCGATGCACTGGATGTGGGTCTTGGGTAAATCATTAAACATCTTTGGATTTCACCTAAACTGAGAAGGTGAGGTCATTAGACCATTGCTAAGAGACCTTTGTTGGTTCTAGGGTCAGTATTGCTTCTTTCAGGCAAGGACAGATAGATCCAGGCACAAACTGGCCTATTCACAAGTTAACCCAGTGAAGGAGATTCTTCAAGACCTAATTTCTAATTTTTAAATTCTCCACTCATTCTATAAACCTTAAAATATGAGAGCTGCCTGAGCTATAAAAATCATTGCAGCCGGTGGTTATTACCCCTTTTTTGTAGACTCCTTGACATTTTAGTGAAAATTGTTGGCATTCTTTTCTGAAAAATCCACATGCAGAAAGGTTTGCATATAAATTAGGGATTCACAGACTCACTGAAGCACAGCCGTGGGCCTATGTAGACATGAGTTAAATATTCCTGATGTTGCTTGACCCCATTGCTTTGTTACCAATAAAACTAATAACTAGAAAACTAAAATACCTCAACCAAAGTCACATAACAAATTAGTGACGAGACATCAATGGTTTATGCAACAGCCCATCATGGCTGATCACCTGTTCCTTATGGAAAATGGCTCCTGCCATTCTCAGGAAATCTAGCTTCTTCCCTTCCCGAAGGAGACTGTTGTTTAATCTAAATTCTCAATCATGAGAATTTATTCCCTTGGAAGGCAAACCTAGTCAATGACACATAAACAGACACCTTCTAGGGTCTTTCCGGAAAAGGTTTTTCTCCCAGTTTAAACAAGGAAGAGAAACAATTTGCTTTTCCTGCTTTCACACATAAGTCTTGTGAGGGTGTGGTATTTGGAACTGTAACAGCCACCATAGGGGTGCCAAAGAAATGCTCAGGGTCACAGAGGGCAAAGATGGAAAGAGTGTGGACTTTTGGGACTGAGCCACCCAGGACTGCTTGCTTTTTTCCATACTTCTTGTTGGGTAAAGTAATAAAGCTGTTCATTGTTTAAGTCAGTACTTTTCAGTCATTTTCACATTGGGATATGAAATGATCATACTTGTATAACACACTAGGATAATTGGAAGAGCCAGAGGACTTGGGAACTTCAGATTTCACCCCACTGCCACCCCACTCCCCTGAGGGCTGAGAGGAATCAGCCCCTTATACAACAACAATATCTTAACATAGCCCCTTCCACACCAGTGTGCCAGGCACTATCTGCTGTCAGGATTATCTGATTATATAGGGGTGTGTCCCTTTGTCTGTCTTTGACTAACTAGCATTTTACAACTCTGTAGAGAGACAGGTTAATTTGTACAAAACTTTCCTGCCCATAGCTATCCAAGTGATTCTTGTTTAAGGCAATGCAAATAGATTTTCTCAGTGTGTTAATCAGCTTGAGTTGCCATAAAAAATACCATAAACTATGTGGCTTTAACAACATAAATTCATTTTCTCACTAATTCTGAAGCTAGAAGTCTGAGATTAGGGTGCCAGCACACTCAGGTTCTAGTGAGGACTCTCTTTCTGGCTTATAGACAGCCACCTTCTCACTGTGATTTCACATGCCAGAGATAGAGAGAGACATAGCTAATGTGTCTTCCTTTCTATTAAGACACAGATTCCATCAAATCAGGGCTCTACCCTTATGACTTCATTTAACCTTAATCACCTCCTTAAATCACTGCCCTATCTCCATTACAATTTCACAGGGGTGGGAGTGGGAGTAGTGCTTCAACATATAAATTTGAGGGAAAGGGGAGGACACAGTTCAGTCCATAGTACTCACATAGACAATGTAACATTTTATCGCTGTATACCATTTAAATTATTCATAACATCGTACTCACTCCTTCACTTATTAGTAAATAAAAATTTTGACATATGCTTGTTTTACTTATGTCAAAATGTGTGTGTTATAATTTTTTTTGGTGATTTATTTTTAACAAAAAGATCAGACTCTATTCTTAGATGGTAATTCCTAAGGTTACTGAAAAGAGAGGGACATTTTAAGACCCTGTTATTTCCCAGTTCATTGGAGTCACTTTCCTTGGTTGAGGAGACTGATCCTTGTTTTTTTCTATATCTTATGGATCAATTGTTAATTTAAAAGAAGCCAGATAAAAACACTGAGTTGTAGAAATCCTTAGTCCTGGACCCAGGTGGATCTCCACAAATTACAAAACTCAGTAAAGCCATATAATCTCTTGGCCTCTGTTTCTCCAACAATATAATGAAGAGATTGGAATAAATGTTCTCTAATACCCTTTCAAATTTTAGAACGTGTCGATTTCATGATTTGTGCTTATAAAGGGTGGTAACTATAGAGACAAAACTATCTCACTGTCTAGAAGAACACTATTTAAAAAAATTTTTAGTGCAGTCATGGTACACTATAGCCTCAAATTCCTGTCCTCAAGTGATTCTCTCTCCTAAGCCTCCCAAGTAGCTGGGGCTACAATGCCACCATGCCCAGATAGAAGAAGAACATTTTAATAAAAACACCCACGTATTTGTGATGTCTGCCTTCTTCATGCTTTGGTATGTAAGACTGAGTTTTGAAAGACACTTTTTTTCTTCTCTTCTCCCATTCCTTTACACACCTGCTTCCTGCCCCGCTGAAAAAGCCAGTAACTCCTTTTGTGTTCAAGTTTCTCCATCTGCGAAATGTGAGGCTGAGTACCTATTGGCCTCCCAAGGGTATTCTGTGCCTGACTCATCACAGAGCATTCACTATGCTGAACATTATCTACAGACCGAGGCTGGCATTTGCTTTCTTTCCTTTCTTGATCATAATTTGATCCTTACTTACTTAGGAGACTTTTGCTTTTACAATTTGTCAGTAGTTCTAATCCTGTTTTAACATAATTTAAAGCTATGGTGATGCTAACGGTGTCATTGATAATGAGCTGGGACTGGCAGGCAGTCTTTTAAAAAGTGTGTTCAAATTGTGAAGAAAATCCCCCAAACGTCAAGAAACAGGACAAAAACCACACAGTAATAACATAGCAGAATAT